CAGTATTTCATGTTAAAGTGAGACATAAATCCCACTGAAATTCAACTGCATTTCATTTGGAAGTACCAACCTTGCCCTCTAATGATTAGAAAGCTTTCCACCCCAGACTTCCATTTCCAGCATTAATAGATAGATAGATGGATAGATAGATAGATAGATAGATAGATAGATAGATAGATAGATAGATAAAACCCTATTTTTTATGCTTTAAAATTAAAATTACTAAAAAGAGTTTAGTTTCCTTTTAACTGATCCCACTTAAGCCATATTTCGCAATCTTTAGGCCTCTAAAAAAAATCAAAGACAAGAGGATAACGTTTCAAATGTCATCCCTAATTATGAATTAAACCCAGAGGGAAAACAAATGACATCATGCTTTTATCTCTGTGTATATAACTGATGTAATAGCAATGGCACATCCACGTGCACACTCACACTTTCCCCTCTACAGCCACTATTTTTACCAGCTCTTGCTTGGTTATTGTACTCAGATTTTTAACAGGCACAGTTCAAGCCCTCAGTGTGACCCCAGCTGGGATCTCAGTGTGTGTTTGTGCTCAGCATAAGGCATCTCCAGCCCTGGTTTTAGTCCATCACTGTTGCCTCAGTGGCAGGCAGGAATAAGCTTCCCTTTGCCTTCAGCCATTCCAGGGGGAACAGGATGAGCTCCTGTTACGAACCCAGCTTAGTTCCCGAAGGATTGAGTTTGCCAGTACTAAGCCTTGGCTGCTTCCTGAGATCAGGGTGTTTAAAAGCCAGAAAGGGTGATTGCTGCTTGCAATCTTCCCCAGGAGCTGGGCTAGGAATGGGGGAACACTCAAATGTGTGAAGGCATGCACTGCAAACTCTGCTGGCTGACACACACAGTGTAAATATAGTTATTCTCCTTTCTTTAGGCAATGTATCGTTCTCAATCCAGTTTTAGGATTACACTCTAATCTCGGTCTCTGAGCAGTCTGTGCCCACGTATCTGGGATTAGAATCCAGCCCCACAGCCTCTCCAGTGGCACCTTACCCCAATCAAGAAGGCATATTCATGTTCCTCTGTGACATAATGTTAATATAATTGCTTTTTTGCTCTCCAGAAGTCATTTAATTTGTTGTCTGTGGACTCTGGAATAATGACAGTCTCTAGTTTTGTGACTCTTAGCATAGGTTTAGAGCAAGAACCCTTGATCCTACAGATAATGCCATTAGGAGTATTAATAATATTGGAATATTTATCTATTTCTTTAAACAGCACTTGATTTCTCAAGTAATCAGGAGAGGTTTTTCTAAAAAGGAAGCCAGTGGAAACACAAATGAGACAATGCATGATTTCAGTCATAAGCATGGCTACATGTTGACATGTTTGACTGATGTCTCTGACCTGGATTAACTGTCATACTCAGCTTCCAAACAGCCTGTGGAGCCACTGCTGAGGTTACACTAAACGCTGACTTTAAAAAATGCTAATTCGACGTGCTTGATGGAAACAAAAGCAGTACTAGTTAATGAAACTTAAATGCATTTAGCTAAAAAAAACCCAAGTCTTCCAAGGGGCCTATATTATACATAAAACTACCCTGCCTTTTGCCAGTGCCATTAACACCATGGACACACAGCCTGGCACAGACACTTTGGAACTGCAGGGTGGCACGATTAGATTTGCAAACGCTTGTGGTTCATGAAGTTCGTGTCTTGCCACTTCTCATCTAATAAATTGAGACAGAATTAGTCCTGGGTGAGTGGTTCTGCCTGCTGCCAAGAAGGGTTTGCTGAGGGTAAAACTCTAAAAGTAGAGATTAACTTGTCTTCATCCCTGTAATGTGCTGTACAGCCAGGATTTGTGCAATAGGATCAGGGCAGAGCCATATATGAATCTACCACTGGACAGCTGGTGGGTATGAATTTATATGAAGCCTGATGGCAGATTTTGAGCTGCCCTCAAATCCCAGCTAATAAATGTATCACAACTATACTTTCCCTGTTCCCTCACAGGGGCTTTGCTGGTCTGGTTTCTAATATCACCATTCTTATGAAAATAGGCTGAGCCTTGAGTACCCTAAATTTGACCTGCCAGGCAGAACCATAGCTAAGTAATCAAAAAAGGTGTTTTTCCAAATGGAATAACATAGTTTGGTCGAGTTCAGTACCTCCTCCAGACACAGAGTTACATACAAGTCTTTATAGGAGGTTATTAAGCTAACTATTTATCCTACCTGATCAATTCAATACTTCCCTGAACAACAAATTCAGGGAAATTAGGAAATAATTTAATATAGATAACATATGCATATGAAACACAGCCTTTGTGTTAAATTTGAACCAAACTGGTATTCTGCCATTCAACTTGGAGAAGTAGATTATAATTCTGGTAGAAAAAACATGGCAATTTTTTATCACAAATGACAGAGTTATTTTTATGTATCTGAGAAAAAATCCAAGCTAAGTTAAAAAGGATTGATTATCACACCAATGATGTCATGAAGCAACTCCAGTGAAAAACCTCATTAAGGAATCAACCCCTCCTTTTGGCTCACGATGATTCAAAAACTGGGTCAATGGAAGCAGTAAGGAGAGCTTGAGTGGAAGATGGGTCTTCTCCCACTAGGGTTGCCATGATTCTACACTTCAAAGCTGAACAACCTGATTTTAGGTGTGATTTTAGGGGCAAGTGTAAAAGTTTTAGGAATGCCCGATGAAGGAAGTCTTTCACCTGGGTGTCTTTTGCCCACACAGGGACATATTCCCCAGAATACAGAATATTCACCACTGTGACTAAAACAGTGGATTGATGCAATCCAGCAGTTCCTACAAAGCAAAAGGGGTACAACTTAGTCATGTGACAGACAAAATTTTGTCAGTGTTAATATTAGTGTTTAAGGTTGGTGTGTTTTTTTTCTGATTTACTAGAAAAAAGCCTAAAAACTAGATTTTTTTTTTCTATTATGTCTACCTAGAACTCTGATATTTTCTTTGCACAGAATCATAGAATAATTTGGGTTGCAATGGACCTTTAAGATATTATTTCAATCCCCCTGCAATAAGCACTGACATCTTCAGGTGCATCAGGTTGCTCTGCTCAGATGCGCCAGGCAGAGGCCAAAGGCCGGGCTGTAATGAGGTCAGCACGAAGTTTAGGATTGCAGTTTATTTTGCAGAATATTTAGTACAGTCACTTATCCACGACAAGAAACCACCTAAATGGCTGACTGGACAATGTGGTGTGGCAAATACCATCATCCCAGTTGGCACCTATTTTTTGAGCTGCTGAAAAGTTTTAGTTCAGCACTAAATCGCTTTAGGACTGAGCTTTAAAATGCTTTAGCAGCTCAGAAGCACTTTGGCAGCTCAAATGCTCTTCATGAAGCCCCAGCATCCTAAATCGCTTTAAGTCTAAAGTATCCTAAAAAAAAAAAAAAAAAAAAAAAAAAAAAAAAAAAAAAAAAAAAAAAAAAAAAAAAAAAAAAAAAAAAAAAAAAAAAAAAAAAAAGAAGAAGGCAAATGGAAATATATCCAGCAGCACATGTTTGGATAATACCTGTGGCAAGAACAAGGGACGTGGTGCTAGTCTTGGATTGGACAGCGTGTCTGCTGCCAGGGAGACCTGAATCTTGACCAACACAGAATCAAGCGGTTATGTTTACAAATGTAAGGAATTTTTTTAGTTTGAGGGAGCACCAGTGGGGTGGTCCAAGTGCAGCCTCTGCTCTCAGTCTGAACTGCTGAAATGACTCACCTGTCTACCTTTTGGAAAACTCTTTTTGAGGCTCAGACCAAGTGTCTTCCCCGTACCAAGGAAATGGTAAATTCCTCAGAAATGTGAATTAGATTGAGAGCTTTCCCTTAATTCGGTTTCAACTCATCGATAGGGCAAAGGCAACAAAAGAAGTTCTAATGATTAATCTAAGTTATAAATGGCTTGGGTAACAAAATAGGGGATTTGGCTTCCAGCTGATTTTTCGATAATGAACAGTGTTCCTGTCTTTGCATTTCCCTCACTGATTCCTCTACCAAATGCTGGCTGAGCTCGTGGAGCTGTGACTCTCTATCTGCAGGATGAGAACACTCAAGCATTACATCTTCCTTCTTTCAGAGGACAGAAAGAGTCCATCTCCTCAGAGCTAAACGGGGATGGCAATACAAGTCCTTACTTTCAACTTACTTTATAAAAAAAATAAAAATCAATAATTTGCTGTGGAACTCTGGGTTTAAATGAGTGCTCAGGTGCCCCTGCTGCTGCTTTTGGAGCTGGTCTGCTCCCTCTGCCAACCCCTCAGCCTAAAGCATTCCATACAGGATAACTTTTTAACATCCAGGCTCTGGGTTACAGGACTTGCTTCCTTTAGGACCTGTCTGCACAAATAATCCTGCCTTAGATTATTCACCCAAAATTCTGAGCAGGGAGTACTGTGGTTATTCATTGCACTGGTATCAGGATCATTTTTAATCTGGTCACCTTCTTCTTTGGACACACTTGGAAATGCTCTCTTTTGTCTAGATTCCTAACCTTCATTTGGCTTTATTCACCTGTACATAGATGGGTGATTAATCTGAGTCTCACTTGTTTTATCCCTGTTTTCATCACTACAAAGCATGTTATTTTACCTTTTCTGCTGCATTTGGCAGCCCTAAGGGACGGATGTCTTTTAGAACAGCTCATTTCTATCATTTCTCTCCATCTGTTTAACTCAGTTTGCAGTAAAGAGGGTTCCAAACTATTACAATTCCCAAATGAAGCCAAAGATACCTGCCTGTCACTGCTGTGACACTGCAGGCAAAGCCTTTGGCTTAATCACACCCTTTTGAGCTGCTGTTTCCCAACATCCTGACTTTCCTTGCACTGTGAGATCCAAGGACACCGAACAACTCAGAGTAAAAACAGGCAACGTTTGCATCGTCCTGAAACCTGAAAGTTTCTCTACGGAAAACAACCCACAAACACAGAAATAACTGGCCTAACCTGCTCTGTTCCCCACACTGCTGACTCTGGCCCTGCTGATTCAGTTCCTTGCAGAATGACTCCCCGGGAGCACATGAGGAAGATGTCCCTGCTGGGGGAACAAGGAACGCTGGAGGAGAAGCACCTGTACCGATTAGCGAGTGGAATGGCAGCAGGAGGTGAGCAGGGAGGGACCCGAACTGCATCTGTTTATAGGATTGCTGATTCCTCTACGATATGCAAAAACCAGCCAGCAACAGGTTGGATGTCTGAAAAAGGCATCTTAAATCTATCTCGGGAGTAACTGCAGAAACAATTCTCTGAGGGAATTTAAAGTTAACGGGGGGGGGCTCCTGACATTCAGAATTCGATTAAGAGGTGCTGAGCATCTGAAAGACAAGTCAAGGTCACAAAAGAACTTGGCGACAAAAGCCATAGCTGGACATTACAATGCTCTGGCTCACCACTGTAGGCTCTTCTTTCTAGAACCTACCTTCTAAGGCAGGTCCTAGCTAACTAGATTTTTCTAAAAATGAAGCTGTATCAGAAATTAAAGCTCTCTCAAGAAGAGAACTTAACATCCATGGCTATTTTCTTGTGAATATACTGTCACGTGAATTATTATTCATTGTAAGCTGTCCTTTTGTAGACTTGACTGCGCACATCCTTGTTTATTTTTAATGCAATTTGATAGCATAAATTTGCATTATTTAAACAAATAGTTATGGTGGCAGCAGAAACATATTTTTTAGTTGCTGCTATTAAAAAAAAAAAGTATGATTTGCTAACTCGTACTCGAGAGGAAGAAGCAATCATTTTTCCTGGTAAAGTTGTACCGCAGACAGAATCACTCTCTAAGTTAACCCACTGACCCCAGAGCTGTGTCTGCTTTGTGCCAGAGCTGCGGCAGCGGCAGGAGATGCTGATGAGGAACCAGCTGATGGCCGTGAATCCCCAGCTGATGGCGCCGGGCCAGCAGAGGGTGCAGGCGATCCCTGCCCAGTTTGAGCCGCGCCTGGTGGACAGGTACGGGCACCCCTTCCCTGTCCCAGCGCCGCAGTCAGTGACGACTGCGCTGTCCCTGAGCACGTACAAACCTTGGTTAGTCCTAACTAAGCAATGTCCTCTGAGTATCTGAATCTATTTTTGGGTTTCCCCCCCAGAGACCTGTTACCTTCCGCTGAAATGATGGCCTCGGCCGATCCCAGGCAAATCCACATCTCCTCCCACCTGGGGCCTGCGGTGCCGCCCCACCCCAACGTGCCCAACATCCTGGCCAACAGAGTTTACCCGGGCCCAGGTAAGGCAGCAGCGTCTGCAGCCTGACACGTGTGTAAATGAGACAGCAAACTGCACCTGCTGCTTTGTGGGTAGTGTCAGCAACAGTTTATTTTCTTTAGATAAACAGTCTCACTAAAGGGAAACAGCCTGTCCACCAGAGAATAAAACTGAGTCAGGTTAGGTCTAAACACATCCATTTGGGCTTTTGTTAAAATACACTGTTTTCAAAGTCATTTGCATGTTCTTCTACTCTTTTTCTTTTTGTATTTTCCAAGCACTTTCACATCTGAAAAGAAGGCTGTAGCTAAACAAATGAGCCCAATCAACAACATTTTCACACTACATTTAACTCTCGCTCTTGTATGAGTACTGGCTGCTTTATACTGATCATATTTAATGATAATAGCACATGCCACCTTACTCATGTAGGGCAACTACAAGTCCTTTTAATAAAGGTTCAAAATCACAGGGCACAGCTCCCAGGGGAAGGATGGATATCACTACTCTGACACTCCTGTCATGCTGCACATAAATTTACATATCACTTCATACAAAGTGATCTTACGGTTCTTCCTTTGAGATGAGTGAACGAATTCTCAATGTCACACTGATCTATAAAGAAGTATTTCTGGCTTCAGCTTTTTTTTTTTTCCCACCTAATGTGGATCTCAAATAAGAGATTCCCTCAAGAGGAAATTCAATTTAAAATTACATGGCCTCCAGGCTGAAAGCAATCTTGAAGGAGCAGGTTTGCTTTGCTCAGTGGATGGTTATTATTTTCTGAGCAGTTCTAAAACCACCCTGCTGGCTCCTTTCTTTATGGATAACAGCAGATATTCCTTAACCACAGATCTGATCACCTAATCCTGCACTTGATGTTTGTTCTACTCATTCCCACCAAAGCAATGACCACAAATTGCATTTGACTTAAAGTCATATCTGCTTCCTGCTGGAGCCCATAGCTGAAGTCTTAAAAAGCTTTTTAAAGTGTCTCTGCATTGCTTTGGGTTTTGTGCACTTGCTTGAGGAAACAAGTGAATTTTAAAGACTTATTTTTTTCCCCTTCCCTTTAAGGATACAGCTTTCTACAACCAGAATCCATGGAAGCTGTGGCCAGAAGACAGGAACTGGCTCAAAAACAAAATATTGCCAGGTAATCCACAGCAAGCTTTGCTCTGAGGTGCCTGCCAGAATTAGGACAGCTGGCAATTACTAAATCACACATTTACTATTTACAGTGGTTGAGATATTTTTTCAGCTCATCCAGAGAAGCAGAGCCCTTGATTATCTATTAAGACCTGAAGCTACAGAACTTTCTGCTTGCCCCTATTCTGCTTTGAGTGTTAAAATGATGTAAGAAAAAGAAACAAAGCCTTTAGCTTGGCTAGGGAAACAAACAAACTCCAGCAACAGCCCTTGAACTCTGGATCCAAACACCCTGAGGCTACAAAAATTCAGAAACAAATTCAAACCTTCCAGCTGTGTGCTGTCACACACAGCATTTTAAGCCCCTCCAGCTGGGCCCTTGGGATGATCAGCTGTGTCTCCACCCTGCTAGGGTGGGCAGCTTTTTTTAGTTTACCAAATATTTCGAATATCAGGGTGATTATAGAAAAGTCCACTTATTTGTTCCAGTTGGAGTGTAATCAGTAGGTGGTTAAGTAACCAGCAGTGTCCTCCCTTCACAGCCACACCATTTCCACAGCAGAACTCTCAACCACTCCTGCACCTCCTGGGTGCAGCACAGCACTCAGTGGTGCCACCCCTCACATCTCCACTTCAACAGCTGTGTGGGAGCAATGACAGTGGGGCAAGAGATACAGGGACGTGGTACACAGGAAAAAAAACACTTCCATGGGATCTCTGAAAGCAGAAAAGCAATAATTCAGGGGCTGTTGCAAAGATGAAAAGAGGGCAGAGAAAAATCCCTGAACGGAGTGATCAGCTAATTCCTCCTCAAAGCAAAAATCTGAATAGATAGCTTTTGCCCAAACTGTTTTCCTGACAATTTTCCACTCTTCTAGGAGTCAGACTCCCTCTGACCTGTTACCCTCATCGCAGTGTTAAGAAAGCTATCTTGGTGAACTTCAAAGTGCTTTACTTCACAGGCCCTTTTCCAAAGGAAGATGCAGAAATCCCACTGAAAGCTCCTCCGGGAGCTCTGGTTTTCTGTTTGGTCACTGGCTTGGCTCCAGAGAAAGCTGATGCCAGCAAAGGTTGGTACAGCAGAGACAAATACTACTCCTTGTAGTCTCCATATCCCACTGGTAAATCTCCTACCCGCTATTCCAGGGGCAGGAAGCTGGCACAGGCTCTGGAGCATTGGCTTTATCCACAAGGAAGGAGATCAGCTTAACATTTACCAGCTGGGTCGAATCTTTTCACACTCTCAGAGCCCTGCTCAGTGCCAGGCTCCGTAGGGAATCACCCAAGGGACTCAGCATGAGCTCTGAATGTCACATTCCAAAGATAACACAATTCTAGTTCTTTATCATTTGCAATATCACTGGAATTTTGCAGTTTTCAGTGCAGTTTTCTGAATGGTAATGTAATTCACTTATTTGCTTTAGTCTTCAACCCTTAGGACCCTGGAGACGATTTTTTCAAACCCCGAGTGAGCATAATCACCTAATAATGGCTGGATTGAAAACACACAAATGGCACTTTTGGCTGAAATGTTATTTAGGGGCATCCCAAGGAAGATAAATTTTCCCTTCCTTTCAGCTTCCTCTGTGTGTGTGCCAGCACATTAAATACAGTCAGGTTGCCATTCCATCTGCAGTTGGTGCCCTCTCGCACACACACAGCACTGCAGGGGAGAGACGAGGCAAGCAGTTCTGTTGTCAGGTCAATTATCTGAAAACTCAGATAAAAAATAAGGTGTTGGAGGAAGTGAGCTGCCCTAACTGCCCCTGCTCTGTGTGTCCCTCAGAATGGAGATGGAGATGAGCGCTATTTTCCAGCAGAAGGAGATGGAGAAAGCCCATCGGAAAGGGCTGCTGGGGCTGGAGGCGCCTTTCCTGTACCACGGCGTGCCGGCCAGCCCCATCGCCTTCCGGGGCAGGCACAGGCTGCCCGAGGGCCACCTCCCCAGCGACCTGTACGTGCATCGCAGCAGCCTGGAGGACATCCACGGCAACGCCGTGCTCATGGCAACCAGCCCCTACCCGCCGGTGGCCACGCTGCAGAGGGAGAGGGGGCGCCGGCCGGGCAGGAGAGCTGGGAACCACAAAGCTGCGGATGGCAGCGCCAACGGCACCAAGAGCCAGGCCGAGGACAAACCCACGGACTCCGCTGCGGCTGCGGCGGATGAGGAGAAAGAAGACAAGAAGGAAATAGAGGTGGAGGCACCGAACAAACACGAGCAAAGCAAAAGCCAGGCTGAGCCGTCGGCGGTCGCCAAAAACTGTAAAGAATTTGAGCAGGGCTTGAGAAAGAACTGTGCTGCTCACGAAATTTCCACTGAAAGCAACAGCTGCAGCAACACCAACGAGAAGGAAGCCAATAGCTCCTGTGCTGCTTTTGATGACAAGTACATGTACCCTTCTGCAATCCCATTCTCAGCGTTACCATATGGAATTCCAGTGCCCAACAACCCGTTGCTACCTTCAGGTTTGTCAGAGCTCCAGATTACGGTTATATGTTGATATAATTTGTTTTTATTGAGCTGGTCTTTTATTTCTTCCCCCTGTTTTAAGTGAATTTTTGTTACGGTAGAGTCACTGCAACTAAATGTAGAATTCATATGCTGCAAACAGTGACAACTGAATACAGTTCCTGCCTTAAAAAGGAATATCAATTAAAATAAACAAAATTGCTGACTGAAATTGTGAGTTAGTCTCTCCCTTCTGCCCACAGGTATTCTATATGTCCTAACTCTCAGTAGGCACTATGGGTTAGCAAAGTTCTACTGAACTATTAGTAAATTAAAGTAACAGTAAAGTCTAAGGAATCAAAAGTCGTGGAGAAGCGTAAAAACTGACATTTTAACAGCCGCTTCCTCCTGATTTGCCAGCAACATTCTACAACCATAACTTCTGTGTTCCCTCCTCCAAGGAGCACATGGCCTGATCCTGAACGGAGAAGACATTTCCTCCATCGAAGACATTCGCAAGTGGACTGTTGATGACGTGCACAACTTCATCGTCAGCCTCCCAGGCTGCTCGGATTATGCCCAGGTGATTAGAAACATTCATCACATTCTCAGGTCTTTAGGACCATCTAGATTTAAAGGTCATCAAATAAATGTAAATGTGAGAGGCTAAATCAGTAAAATTATTATTTCCTCCTTTTATTCTCTGGTGTCTCAGGATTAATCATAAAAAATAACCAGTCTAGTTTAGCACACCATAATGTGTTTTATCATTTTTTTTTTCCAGATATTTAAAGACCATGCTATTGATGGAGAAACCCTCCCACTGCTAACAGAGGAACATCTCCTGGATACAATGGGATTAAAACTCGGACCAGCACTAAAAATCCGCTCTCAGGTATGATCATTAAATGTCTGCCCAAGCCACAGACACACTAACGAGCCAGAAGTTCCCAGGATGAAATCTTTCCAAACTAAACCACTTTTTTTTTTTTTTTTTTTCACTGAGAAGGTAACTATCGTAACGTGAGAAAAGAAATCACTCATCATAGTTTGCTTTTGCTTCTCTGTATGTTGCCACAACACGCAGGTTGGTTTGCAGTTTGCCTTCCCTGTCTCCCAGGGGTGCTGCAGCTCCCCGGGAACAGGAGGATCCTGCTGTCACAGACCCCACACTCCCAAGCTGAGTATTGACAAGCTCGGGCTTACAAAAGTATGAGAGAGGGAAAATGCAAGGGATTTTTTTTTTTTGTTTGCCTTTGCTGACCACTGATAACCCCTGGGGATGGCCGGGATCCCCTGGATGTCCCTGGCGTTGCTACCCGAGAGCCAGCGTTGATGTTTAAAGGCGTTAACAGCGTCTGGAGAGGCGATTGCCGCGATTGTTCCTTTGTCTTTAAAGGTGTCCCGGCGCCTGGGAAACGTGTTCTACATGATGAATCTCCCTCTGCCGGTGCCCCTGCCCGCGCCTGCCGGGAAACCCTCGGAGCAGCCCTCGGACATGGCCTCCCCCCTGCACTGCAACAGCAGCGGGGACACGCTGGACAGTCCCTGCTCTCAGGACCCAGAAACTTCCCAAGCAGTGGAACAGATCGTTTCAGAAAGCAGGGAAAACCCCTGTGACACAGCTGGGTCTCAGGCTGACTTCCAGATGATGGCTTTCCAGAAAAGCTGAGCTAAGTCCAGGACACAACATGTTTTTAATAACACAGGAACCTCTAGTCACAAAGTGTTGGAGAAGGAGCTCCAGCCTGAAACCTCTGTGTGGCTGAAGGAAATGAGCTGCCAGTGCAGCACGAGGAAGTGGAGCATCTCAAAGGCATTAAAAATGCAACTACATGCTAGTGCAATTACTTTAAAGTGCAATTCGTTGAAAAGAATACCAATACAGTCAGCAGGTAAATTTAATTTTTCATTACAGTCCAGTGGCATCACTGAAAACTGTCAGAGGCTCAGAGTGCACTGTCTGTCTGTCTCACATCTGTCTTACACCATGTTCCCGTGGGCTGCTGAGAAACTACCTGGGAAAGTCACAACTTCCACACGTGGCTGATTCCTCCTTCCACTGAACAAAATTTATACTGAACATTTATATGGAATTCATTGGGAGAGTATGGAACTACCTTCAGAATACAGAGAAATCTGAGTTCATCCCATTGCTATTCCAGAACTAAGCCTTTCTAAGTGCCTGGGAAGGGTATACAGAGTATAAAGAAGATACACAAACTCCGGGCATGAAAATACCAGGGGTGACAGTAATTTTGATTTTATTAATTTTAATTATTCCAAGGTATCCTTATCACCAGGGCTGGAATTTGGTTTGTGTGACTGCACAGCTGAGATTTTAGGGGGAAGCACCAGCAGGCTCTTCCATGTCACTGGAGGACAGTAACGTTCCTGCAGGCACCAGGCTCAAACCCACCTGGTTCCTGCCAACCTTCCCCTTAGCTTGCCTGGGAAAGCCATGGAAAGCCCTTCACTCAGCAGCATGCTCAGTGTTCTTCTTTTTGGAAAAGGACACCGATTTTAGCCTGAAAGCTCCCTTTTCTCCCCTCACTTGTGCTACTGATGAGTCATTATCTCACAGCAAAAAAAAAAGAACAAGAGAACAAGAAATAGAGCTTTTGGCTAAGGATAACCCCCCAGCATTTACTCTGATTTCTGTGTGACTTATCTTTGTTCCCCCTGCAGGGGTTTGTTCATACACTGGTTTTCCACTGAGGCTTTGAAGTCAGTATATTTCCACCCTTCTCCTTGCAAGAACACTTCTTTACTCCAAAGGACACACAAATATTTGGGATAATTGAAGTTCTGCGAATTGAGTTCTGTGGATCTGCAGTAGGTTGCTACTTTAGATTCGCTTCCCTTCGTTTAGTTTGTGTGGCCTCAAGTACTTAAAGCCCAAGAGGTATAAAACTGTTTAGATGGTGAGAGGAGGGAGAGTATTCTCATATTCTGTTCTTTTACTTTAGCTTAAGATAACTTATTTTGTGTCTTTGCTGTATTTGTGCACTAGATAATGGGTAATTAGGTATTTGCAACAGTGACTTGAGATGTTCATCTTATTATACCGCCCACCCTTTGCAGCCTTTGGAAGAAGGGCAAAAACCTGTATTCTTTTTAGCGCGGGCAACAATTTCTAACTTATTTTCGTACAGTTGACAATCGCGTTGACGGCGTCACTCACCTCATTAAACATTTGGGTTTCAAACGGCATCCTGCCTGCTTCCCTGCGTGAAACATTCAACTCCGTCCACACGAGGCCTTCTCCACCCCGGGAGAGGAATCGCTGGCGCGGCTCCAGGTGGGTCAGGCCACGAGGTGTCGCTGCGAGGTCACCCGCCGCCCTGCCGAGGGAAACGCAGCACACCTGAGCGGCAGGTGAAGGGCAAGGATGGGAACAAACTCAGCTTGGTTTTTTTTTTTTTCTAAAGCAGCAGCAGAGAAGCTCGGCTTGCGGTCCCATAAGCCAGGGAGGAAAGATCGAAACGTGGTTCTGAAGAGTGTGATTGTTTTTCAAGTGGTTCAGACATGAACGATGCCAAAAGCTGAGGGGTGAAAACCCTGCAGTCTGGTACTAAACTGAAAAACACTCCAAACATCTGATCCTTTACACACACTGGCCACTCCTTCCCAAAATGACAAAAAGAATGACTTCATGGCTTCCTGTACCCGGGGCAGATGTGCTGGAGCAGCCAAAATGCAGTAAGGCTTGCACTGCAAACAGCTGTGGAGTGAAATAGGAAGGACAGGGATTTACCTAAACTGACATCATTGATTCTATTTCTAATGAAGGAAATACCACTGGTAATTAATTTTTCCTCTCCTACAAACACTTCAGAGAAAAAGAAAAAAAAAGGTTAAAAAGGTTAAAAATTAAAAATAAAAAAAAACTACAACCAAACATAGAATTAGTAGACAGACCAATATTTCCAGGCTCTGATGTGCTTTCAGGAATTATGTTCAGATGTAAACCTTGAGGCCTTACTGATTCTTATGTTTTTTTTGACTTTTCATGCTTATTGCAGCGTCAAAGGGGGTCAGGTAGCAATCACAAGTAACTAAAAAAGCTGGCAGAACTCTACCACTTAATGACTTCCTGGTGCCTGTGCCACCACTGTGTTCCTTTTTTGTGCTATGCCACTAAAATCCCAGGGGGATGCAGAGGACTTATTTTATTATGAGTGGCATTATTAGAAATGTTCCAGTTAACATCTGTTGCTGCATTAGTTCATAGCAGTGCTGCAGTTAATGAAGAAGAGAATGTTTTTTGTAAGATGTTGGAGATGTATCTGATTTTGTACCTACACTGAATGTGGGGGCTCCCAGGGACAGAGACTTCCATTTCTTTTTTTTTTAAGAGGGCCGAGGTTAAAGAGAAGATTAATAAAAAGGTACAAGAAACATATAACAAAATGGTTCTGTACTATAAATAACAGATCTAGGAAAGTCCTGAAAAAGAAGAAATGGCTTATCTTTCCTATGACAGGCTGGGTTTCTGCCCTTATGAATGCTGCATATGGTGATGATGTGGAATACTTACTCACACAGACCTAAACAGATAATTCTCTGCTCAATTCCACAGGTGAAAAATCTCTACAAAATGCTGTGAATATACAAGTGAGGCAGAATTCCCACCTGGTCCAAGTCAGGCATTCATTCTAATCCAGCACACAAACACAAGAGCAGGAAGCCAGGTCCACAGGGCAATGGTATTTCAAACTGACCCCTACTTTATAAAAATTTAAATTTTAAAACTTTATATTATTGTGAATCTGCCACAAAATAATTTTTAGAACGTTAAATTATCCTTAAAGTGTGAACCAGAAAAAAAAATAACCACATCTAGTCTTTAAAATTGCCTCTATTTTTTAAACTAAGTAGAAACTTCTGATATTTTTGACTTTACCCTCACAGAATGTTGATTGGTTGCGCAGTGTTTTGAGTCACCTTCAACATCACAAATTTTACAGGAAAGCACCCAAAAGTCGATACAGCTCATTTTGGTACCTTGCTCTGGTAATGTTCTGTCTAAGCCCTTTATTATTCACTGGGAAATAACAAGTCCACTCTATCACAGAAGGGTTTGGGCTGGAAGTGACCCCACAGTTCCAGCCCAGTGTGTTCCTCAGGGTTGTGTTGCCTGCAGGGGTGGGTTGTGATTAGCCCCTCATGCTGTAAACAGAGCTGGAGCTGTGTTGCTATGGCAATTGCAGTGGAACAGCACTGGCTGTGGTAAGAAAAAACCTGGCCCCTGCTTTCTCATTTGTTTAGGGTTTGGGGTTTCTTGAACCCCCAATTTCCCTGCTGGTGAGGATGTAAAGCCTTTAACCCAGCCCTCAGAAAACCTGTCAAGGCCTATTGTCTGTGTTGCACAGAGAATGATGCAGTATCTTTTCCTACAGCAAAGACATGAATAGATGGTTTTGATTTATCAAAATTTAAAAGCACATGTGGCATCTGCCCACGTGAATTGCTGACATAAATATCAACCCAACAAAACAGCAAAGCAGAAAAAGCACTGCTGACCATGGTGGGGGGGGAAAGAAAGCATTGAGCCAACCTGGTTCTCCTCTTTGCTGATTAGCTTTCAGTCCCAGGTTTCAAACAGCTCTGCTGGAGGATCTCTGCACAGCTGGGATTTGTGGGACTCCAGCAGCTCCTAAATGGTTTGCATTGAAGGATGGTCTGTAAAGCTCTCACTGCCTTCCGGTTCGATCTGTTAAATGGAGGGAAGTAAACTCAAGACTCACATTTTTATATAACGAATATTTTTAACTCAGCCACTTGTAGTCATAACAACAAATCTATGATTTTTATAAAACAATAACAGATAGCTTTTCCTAATGCTATATCCTTAAATATTACCATTCTTATCCTCCTCTCCTGCCTCTGCCAAAAATACAGATACTACCAAGCCCTTTTAATTTTTTTTCCCCCCAACTCCCAGCTGGTTCTTAGAAAAATGTATTGACGTGTTTTCCATTTATGTGTCCAGGTACATCCCCACTGATTCCAGCATGGTGTGATTGACAGTGGTCTTTAGGAAGATCTGATGTGCTACCCCACACCAGGAGAGACCTTAATGTCCTTATTAGGGTTCAACAGTTATTACTAAAATGAGAATATACTCTTGCAGTGAACAAAGTTGGTATTTGAAATAGATGCAATTAATTACAGAAGGAACAGAATCAGGAGAAATTATTTCTTAGCTCACCTGTGATTTTTGTCAGTTATATGGATCAAATAATTCTGAGTTGTATAGAAATAAAAAGGAACATGACTGAGAGGAAGTATTTAAGAAGCTTCTCAGTGAAAGATAATTCTGGAGATTTGTCTAATGAATCTCTGTTGTTCTGCTAGATTAAAAGCTAAGTGGCTAACTAAATATTTATAAGTTTGGAGATGGAAGTGACTCAGGATATGTCTACAGTGGAACGTGTTTCTGAGCTGTGACTCACGGATTTGGGGGTGGATTTTAGCTGAACCTGCCCTGACAGTGTGTGATGCTGCACAGCACAAGGCCCCTGTTCCTTATGTTTGGAGCCCATAATGGGTGCTGAAGCTGCCTGGGTGAAAAGGGAGGTCAGTCCAGAGCCTGAATCCAGACATCATCTGCAGATGATCCAGGAAATGGCTCCTAACACTGCTGGGGAATTTGTCTTCCTCCCTCCCTCCTTCCTTCCTTTCTTCCTCCCTCCCTCCTTCCTTCCTTTCTTCCTCCCTGCCCCTCAGCAGAACAGGTGAGGTAATTGTGACCTGTATTCTCCCCTCTCTTCCTCAAAGCCAGAAGGATTATCCATGGGTCCAGTGGATAAACTTCTTGCAAGTGAACAGTTTGTTCAGCAAACACTTGCTCTGACTTCTGGTGTGACTTCAACTGCTGTTTTGCAGAAGGCTGTGTGACTGCAGAGGGAATTAGTGACGTGGCTGTAGCTCAATTGCCAACATAGAAGCCTTGTCCTTCTGGTGTGTGTGTGTCACAGGGGTAAGTCCACATCATCTTATGGATCCAGGGTGACTGAGCCCAAAGCAGTCAGACAACAGAGAGCACAAATGCCAATAAATCGACAGGGACAAGTTAATTTAAGGGTATAAGAAAATATGTACCAGAAAGAGTAGAACACCACCTATCTCAGTGTCCTGCCTCAGGGGCCGAGAGAGGACACCTGAGGAGAGTATAAGAACAAAGCAAAGCTTGCAGAATAATTCCTTTATCTCCAGGGACCTATTTCACAAACAGAGGGGATTCCTGTATTGAACAGTAGCTCGTGATGCTTTTTTGCTCCATTGATGTATCCAGCTGCTTTTTGGACTGAGTTTCCAGCATCCTTTCTGCTGTGTTAGATCACACAGCTGGGGTGAAGAAGAGGGAAAGAAAAGTAAGCTAATGAAACGTTGTTGGTTTGGCTTCAGTTGAAAGAGGAAACTACCCCACTTGTGTGCAATATCCTTCCCAACAGCAATTCTGAATCTACCCTAATCACAAGGCCAGTTGGCCCTTTAGGGGCTGTGACTTCACTGTGAGGTTCTGCAGTGCTGCTTTTTGCAGCCTCCCCCTCAGCTGACAGACACTGACCTTAAACACAAGCAGTCTGAACCTTCACTTCCACTCCCTGGCTTTTTTTTTGGGATTCAGCCATTAGCTCCTCTCCTCTTTGCCATACTGATGACTGCAATTCCACTTGTTCCATGTTCACTTCAGCCTTGCTGTGCTCTGTGCTCCACAGTGGGAGGTCACACAGTGCCTCACACAGGAGGACACATTCCCTGGCCCAGCTTCCATCCCTCAGTCCTTTCTTAGAGATCTGCTTGAAGTGATGGGTTTGCTCCCCGTGCTGCTCTGTGCTGTCCCAGGAAGAGCTCCTGCAATTTGGTGTTTCTCGAACTTCAGATGAATTAAAATTTCTGGAGGGGGAAAAAAAAAAAAAAAAAAAAAAAAA